AAATTGGCATCTACCTGTATACTTTATCCAGAATATTCCATCTTTCAAACTGTTCTTCTTACCCCAGCTGTGTGGGTGGCACGTTCTGTTTACTCTACCTTCTGTTTGACAGTGTTTGGTTTGGGTTTTTTTTTTTTTTTCTCCATGACTTGAGCAAGATAGATAACATACTTAAAGACCTATGGAGACAAATCCATTGCTTATTTTCTGTGATTCCCAATAGGTGCTAACAAATATCTATTGGATTGAAGTTCAGCAATGGCAGTGTTTTCAAATAATTCATTGTATGTAAAGTGGACTTTCTGAGGAAGTTTTATTTCATTAATCCAGGGAGCTTCATTTATTTTGCTCTTTAAGTATAACTACCAAAATCTGCTTATTATCCTATTGTAAAATGGAATTGGTTGAAGTTAAACCCAGACTAAAGATATGGAATTTTATTTTCTTATATTATGTTTTTTTTTCAGTAATACTCTTTTTTTTTGATAATAGTATGGTACTCTGACATTTTCCCTAATGAATTAAAAACCTGTCTTGCTTTTCTTGTCTTGTTTTTGAGGAAGGGTCTTACTATGTGGCCCTGCCTGGCCTGAAACTTGCCTAGTAGACGAGGCTGACCTGGAGCGCACAGAAATGTCCTTGTTTCTGCTCCGAGTGCTGGGGTGCAATGTGTGTGCTGCCCACCTGGCTCTGACTAAGTCCTAGATTAGTGTATCTTTGAAGGCACTCCATTAGAGCTGTGATACACAAAATTCATAATGATTCATAATAAAATGATCTTATTATTAAGTTTACTAATAAGGATTGTATAACCAGAGAAAGAAAAGATCAGATACTTAATGGAGAAGCCATAGTCAATGCTGCCTTTTGGCAAACACTACTTTTGTGGAATAAAACTTAACATGTTGATGATGCTCTAAGTGAGTTTCATGAAAAAGAACACTATTAAAATTTGCTACAAAATGTTAATGTATCATTTCCTTTCTTCTTACTGTTGATTGTGGAGTTTTTCTGTAGGTAAACTGGCATTTTTCTGTTTGGAAAAACTGTTGACACCAGTGTGTTAAATGACTGCAGTAAAGTTTCTTGTCTGTTCCTCTTGATGAAAAGGGAGCTGGAGAAGCCGGGAGGTTGTTCTGCGGGCTGGGCTTTAAACAGACAAGCTTGGCTGTCAGCGGGACCCACTTCCCGCTGCTGCCGGGGAACTGAAGCCATGCTATGTCGTGAGTGACCAGCGCTGCCAGCTCGAGGGACTGGGCGGTGTTTCTCCAGGATTTGCTGCCCACCGCCCTTCCTCTTATCTTTTCCTCCTCCCTTTCTCCAGCTTCCTGTGTCTGCTGTGCTAGGTGAACTCTTCAGAGGAAGGATTGAAATAATCCTAAGAGGTAGACCAGACTCTTTTCAGCTGATTATTTGTTTTTGTGAGATGAGATTTTAAATAATTAACCTGTAAATGATTTTAGGGGAGGGAGAATGCATATGTGTTCATTGTGTTTTTCATCTTATGGACTCAGACATCTCTATTTACTGTAAAATGGTCTTTGAATTCTGAAGCATACATGTACAAGTAAAACGTGTGGAAAATAGTGCCTATCATTTTTCAAATTAAAGGTCTTTTGTGCTATTCTGAATAATTATGGAAAGCTTTTTTATTACTAGAGGATTGTTCACAAAGTTACCATTTTAACTAACATATTTTAGGGAAGTGTTGAATGTAGCTTAGAAAATGCAACGAAAGCAATACTCAATTTTTATTTCTTTTTATGGAAAAAGAAAAATGTTACTATAATGGAATTTTGCTAGTTTTTCAAAATAACATTTTATAAAATAGGGCTTTAAAATAATGCCATTTATGAATTTTATTGTTCTAAATTTTGTTTTACAGCAAAAGTACCTGACAAAAACCTTTACAAATACCTTGTTTTTGAAATATAAAAGTAATCTGAACAAAAAAATCTTAAGATTTATGGTAACGAGTTCCTCTGTTTCTACAATAGTCCCCTAGCACTATAGTTCAAAGGACATTTAAGAAAAAATTTAAGAGATTTTTTGACAACTGTGAGTAACTCTAAAAAGAAAAATTGCATTTTTGTTTTCCAGTTTAAAAAAAAAATAAAGAAAAGAAAAAACTGAATGAGACCGGAATTTTGCTTTTGGAAACAAAAACAAACACCCTCGGGTTCTGGGGTGCCTCTGCTGACTCGCTCAGTCGGGCTGGCTTCCTCTGCCTCCCTGTTTAAATCCACTCCCAGCACTTCGCAGAAATGCAGGCAGTGGGTGGAATCGGATCGATTTTCCGAGACGGGCAGGTCGATAGCCTTTGCCCAAGCTGCCCGGGAAAGATCACGCGGAACAGATGGGTTCCCCAAATCCACAGGCCTGGAGTCCCTCCCGCCCTCTGCCTTCCAAATGAGAAAGGCGCTGCGGACGTGTTCGCTGCTTGCCAGCTCCCAACTGCAAGCTTCGCAGTTTGCTCCTTTTAAGCGTGGCCGGTGGGGGCAGGGCGGGGGCAGTCACTTTCTGAGTTTCTCTGGAGTCTCCGCTGGACCTTGCTTAGATTTACAATGTTCTGGCACCTCATAGATAAAGAGGTCAAATTATAAACGATACATGCGTAAATTAAGTAAAAAGTCTAGTTTGGGGCTAATGTTTGTCCCGGTGGTGAAGATAAGGATTCTGTTTGTTTTGAGGAGCACAGTGACAGATGCTTAGAAGTGCCTTCTTAAGGCAGCAGCAGCTTTCTTTGGAATGCCTGGGTTTCTCCAGGGGAGTTGGTGGAGTAAGGCAGAGTGAAGGGGCAGAGAGTGAAAGGTGGTGAGCAGGATGCTGGAAGAAGAAGGAAGGGGCTGGTCCTGGAGTCGGGCTTGGGAACCCTGGGGGCAGGATCCGCACAGAAAGGTGCTAGCTGCTGAGCTAGGGCTAGAGACCTCTCTCTCCTTGCTTGCTAGAGAACAAGACAGAGTCTCAGCTGTGCCACAGCCCCTCACAGTTTTCAAAACAACCAAAGCACTGTTCATGCTTTAATAGAAGTCATACAGGGACTAACAGTGAGCAAGGATGGAGGTCCTTGCATTGTGGTGTTGGGGAGTGGTTCAGATGAGAAAATGTGTACCACCTTTAAAAGTTGGAAACCCCAAGTGTGATAACCGAAGGACACATGATAGATTGCTTTTCATCTCCTCCCTCCTGTGTTGAGTTGAGGAGTCAGTGTAGGACTTGAGCTAATTTTAAAGACATTTTGGAAGAGCTATGATAAATCAAGCTGTGAAACATTTGGCTTTTGAAGGTTTAAAACATGCATTTTAGTCAAACTCAGGTCTTTCTGGCACTAAAAACAAGTAGGAAATGAGAAAAAAATTAAAACCAGAAGACTTGAGGAGGTGACAAATTGAAAAGCATTTGTAGGAGACTCATAAGAACCATTTTATGTGAAAGAAGTATTCTGAGCCTTAAGAGCTTATGGTCAGTTTATAAAAAGGCTCAAAAGATTTGGGGAAGGGGCAGCCAAGAATAATCTACTTAAAAGACAGTGCCGTAGTCCTGAGTTGATGAGATTGTGTGTCTCCTCCTTTTCTCCCCCTTCCCAGCTTCCTTCCTGCTTTCTAGCCTTCTCTTCCCTCTCTTTCCCCCTCTTATCCCCACCCCCAAGGTGTGTAAATGGTTGTGCCTTAAAATTCTTTGTGAATGAATTTTAGAGATTTTCTCAGGATTCCCAGTTGGAAAAGCCTTCTACATAACTTGAAAGGCTGATGTCCCTCTCAGGAAATGAATGGATTGATAACCTCTGACACCAGTGACCAGTCTGGTGAACCCTACCTTAATGCTTTGAATACTGGAGGCCCCTAATCAGGCACAACTGTGAATCCCATAACTGTACTATCCAATGTAGTTCAGCAGTGGTGTTCCTACTTTATACATACTATCAATATATCTGAAATCTGTCAAATTTAAGAAGGCAAGGACTCAGAATCCACTTATTGTTGTTTGATTCTTAATAGTAAACCCTTACAAATAAAACAAACTTGTAGATAACATGTAATTTACCATAAACAACCCAAAATTTACAAGCCTGTTAACTTTATGATACTTTTGCACTATCCCAATTTACATGAATACATATTCAGGTTATTTGATAGTAGATTTTTTTAAAGTAATTCCTTAAATTACAAAAAAAAATACATTCAGAATTATATATTGTAACAACTTTGGTAGTAATCCATTTTTGTTATTAAAATAGAGTTTAGTAAATGCTTTAGCAAACAACCTCTTCAGAATGTGGGACTTGTTATACTCGGAAAATCGTTTGGATTTTTAGTTTTGTTTTTTTTCTCTCCACCAGCTGGCACATTGTTATCTTTCTCAAAATAAATAAAAGCTTGCCTCCTTCCTGAGAACAATAAAAGAAAGAAACAGATGAAAAAAAAAAATCTTTCCAAATTGATCAGTTTTGATTGACACCATTTATCACTAACAGCTGAAAATAATTTCTTTATGCACTGATTATTTTCAGATCTGAGCCAATTAGTTTAAGTTTGTTTTTAGTTTTTCAGTATGAGAAGGGTTTTTAATAGGTGTACGTGGATTTTTCATAATCCCAACATTTTAGTTTGTGTGAAGCACTGTTAGAATGTGGGCTTGCTTGGAGAGATGGGGTGAGGGGTGCCGGCATGGTGGGGGAGGGTCAGCTGGTGGCTTTGAAGAAGGGAAGTGGTATCTACAGTTTTTCTGTAAACTGCTTGTTTAAGAAAATGGGGGTGGGGCAGCCCAAGACTGGTGGAAGGAAGCCTTATAATGTTTCAAAACGGTAACATTTTCTATTTTAAAGAAAGGAGGCATTTCTAGTTAATACATAATATGCCATATTTTAAAATATTCAATAAGGTGATTAATATTGTTATAAACACGATAAATCCAGTGTGAAAAGCAAAAAGTGTTTTGATGCGGGGGTGGGGGTGGGGGGGTGGTGCAACAAGAAGGGACGGAGGAGCCCACCTCGTTATAGTTTCGTTTATTTGACCGTTCTGCCTGCTGGCAGTGACTTGTAAGATGTCAGGGTCCAGTTCATCTTACACCGATGTACCTTTCCCCATGTGCCTTCTCCCTGTGCCAGCAATGCAGGCTGTTTCGTGTCCGGCAGCCTCCCGCATTCTCTTCACCTCCCCACGCCTCTCCCCTCCCCCTCCGCCCGAGTCTCCTGCTCTTGGGGAACAATCACCACTGATTGAGGTTCACTCGACGTTAGACTGGAAAACTGGGCTGTTATTTAGGAAGTCATCAATCACATCTCCTCCCCCGGAAAGAGATGGCAGAGAAACCTGTGAAGTACAATTTCTTACTATACCTCTCAAAAATATTCTGAAACGAGCAGCATTATTGGTTAGGAAATTTGTAGCGATTTTTTTCCCAGTAGGATTTTATTTTAAATTTGAAAGAATTTCAGATTGGAATTAGGAGTGCTTTTGCCTTTTGGTAGGTTTATGTTACCAATATCTGAAGTTAATGGTTAATTAAATTTAAATTTGGGCTTAGGAATTACATATTTCCTTCCACGAATTAAATATTAAATTAACGTCCCTAAGGTGGTTTGGTGCTATGGAATAGCAGATTGCCTGTGGGGTGTGTGTGTGGGGGGAATCATAACGTCAGTTGCTTTATTTAAATGGCTCCCCCTATGAGATTAGAGAGGCTTGTGTGTGGAGCACACGTGTGCACAAATACGGACTGTCGCTTTTCCAAACCAGCAATTCACAAGGACCCTTCGTTGTGTTTAAACAGTACAAAATTAGCATTCTGGTTAATCATAAAGAAGCGTCCCAAATCGTCTTTAAGATAACATGCTTGAGTTTTCCGTGTTCATTCATAAATTATTTTGATGTCAGCACAGATGAAATGGCGATTGGTTATCTCTTCCTCTTGCCAGCCCCTTAAGGATCCGAGGTGAAATTAGTAGCAAGAAAGCATGTAATTGACAAAGTCACGTGTGCTCAGGGGGCCAGAAACTGGAGAGAGAAGAGAAAAAAAATCAAAAGAAGGAAAGCACATTAGACCATGCGAACTAAATTTGTGATCGCACAAAATCAAGATGTTAGACGGATGCTGAAGATCACTCCGGTCCAAAGGGAAAGTTTTCATCTCTCGAGTTTGAAGCTGAGGGCCGGTGGGGCAACATGGCCGAAGGTTAATTTTCTTTTCTATTGTTTTACTCTGATTTCTTTCTTCTTTTCTCCCCAGCTTCTCCCCACTACCCAGTTTCTCACCCCTTCTCGCCTGTCCCCCTTTACCCTAATAACTGGGCATTACTTCCCCACCCCCTCATAGTGCCATGGGGCTTCGGCAAAAACCTATTGTTACAGATCTCCAAAATGTTTTGTACCGCCCACACCGATTCACAACTTGAAAAGCTTTCAGGGGGCTATTGTTTGAATTGTGTGCGTGCGATTACGCGTAGTTTCAGTTAGTGAGACCAAGAAAACTTTTATACACCTGCCCCCTCCCCCTTTCTACCCTAACTTTAATTGAAAGTTAGGGGGAGGGGAATGAATGCACATTGCAAATAACCCGGGATTCCCGTCCGCCGCATGTGCATTAACCAGTAGCCAGCCTTCCTCAGCGTTTCTCTTTTCTCTTCCTGCTTGCTAGAAAAGCCAATCTCGCTGGAAAATTACTCTGTGCAGATTGGAATAGTATTAGGTCAGCAGTATGTGAGTGAAAGTGTCACAGGATGTAACTGTAGAATGTTACGGAGGAGCAACGGAGATACGTGAAAAAGTGTGCGGATGTGCAGAAACGTGGAAGCTGGTGTGAGCGATGCAGCGCCGTGGCTTCCTCTCCCTGGCTTTGCTTTTAACCCTTTTCGTTTTAGATATTTTTTAAAGAAGGAAAACATTTACCAACTTTTTGTTTTCTAGCTTCTCTTCTTCTTCCCACAAGCAAAAAAAAAAAATTTTTCCGTTAAGCACAATGTAGAAATGCAGGCTAACCGACTTTTTGTCCTATTCCATGTCAGGCGGGGCAAGCAAAGGTGAAGAGCCAGAAAAGCTGCCTGAGCTGGCCGAGGAGGAATCCCAGGTTCTGCACGGAACTGGCCACTGTAAGTGGTTCAATGTGCGCATGGGATTCGGATTCATCTCCATGATAAACCGAGAGGGAAACCCCTTGGATATCCCAGTGGATGTATTTGTACACCAAGTAAGCCAGACTTCTTAATCCCCTCTTTGCCTAGTTCCATGTGTGGGAGTTGGTCTGTAATAATATTAATAGACATAAAAAATGCACTAAGTATATTGAAAAAATGAAAATATTAGTTAAAATTGGGCGATTGTCCAGTTTTTAGGGCATGTGTACGAATTCCTTCCAGGATATGTTTTTCTAAATAGGAAGTAGAGTCTGATATTTCGCTGATTGGGCTTGGGTTGATGTTATTTAATAAACCTTCCCTTCACTGGACAATGAAATCTAGCATGCAGTATTATCGACTTCATATTGCCTGTGCCTAATGAATGAATGGGAAATGCAAGAAGAGGCACCCGTGGATCTTTGAAAGTTTTTAAAAAGCCAAACAATTTGCTCGTCGTAGGAAAGTGCAGGTACTCTGTGTAGATAGCTCTAACGACAAGTACCACCAGTGATTTTGAACATCCGTCGTCACTTGCAGGTTTATGTCAAAATAATTGGGTTTTATAGTAAAATGAAATAGAAAATCGATAATGAAGAGTGGATTTAAAGAAATGCCAGAAAAGATTCTTGGTAACCACACCTTTAAGAACTGTTCCCTCTTAGGTTATTGATCCAGGAATACTGTCTCTTTAAAAAGAGACTGAACTTAAAAAAAGAAAAAAAAATAGCCAAAGGCTGTTTAAAACCTGATAGTTGGTTACATGGTAAATTTCTACAATTGCATTATAGTTTTTTAAAATGCTTAAATACCAAAGGGAAGATCATTGTTTCCCATTAAAAAAATTTCCCCAGGAAACAATAAATACCTTTTTCTCGTAAATTCATTTTTATTAACTAATTGCTTCAGAGTTGAGAAGAGTTTACAGTTTGCAAGTAAAGGAAATAAAAATTCTCTGCTGAGGCCATGGACAGAAAGGCTTATGAGTAAAGAGGGCTATGTGGCTTACTATCTAAGTTAAAAGGAACTGAATGAATTGTACATTGCGTGTTGACTGGAATGGATCCATGTCTGAAATACTGAAGTTACTCTGCTAAAAGTTGGATACTGTGCTATTTGTTCCTGGTAACGTTTATACCGCACTCCCCAAGGAAGACCATTTTAAACGCACCTATAACCAGGCGGAGCCTAGGAGACCGCGCTGTTTAACCTGTTGTGCTCCGGTGCTTTGGCTGGCTGCCTTTGCCGTGGGGTTTGTCTCCTCCTTTCCTGAAGGCCTGCCTGTCCACAGTGGAAGGATAGGCACAGTCTGTGAAGTGGAACATTTAAATAGTAATAGGAGCCTGGGTAGAGCCTATTACGTTTATATTGCATATTCTGACCTATTTTTTCTTTTTGAAAATTTCTTAGATTGAATAACTAAAATCGATAAATTATTTTCTTGGGCTCTTCTTCCCCTTTCAACCTTTTTTAGGTTGTTAAATTGTTCTTTACGATGTCATAAATTTGTTTTATAGATGATAAATGAAAAAATAGCACTTTTTTTTTGCTTGATCACACCTTGTTATAATTTGGTTTTATTTGTTTAGGTTTTAAAATATATTTTAAAAAGAAATAGAAATATATTAAAATACTAGCCATTTTGTTAAGCAGTGTGAGCACTTAGACCTATGAAGTATATCCACTTTAAACTATTTACTAGATATGAGATTAACATTTTTGTGTACATTGAATTAAAAATATATTGCTGGGAAACTTCAAATTCTGTCGCAGTTTCTATATTATAAACATTGCTTTTTAGTATCCCCTCATGTGCCTCTGTACATGTGAAAGCACAGTGCCTAAATGAAGACTCTTAGCTTCTAAAATTGAGACTGACAAATAAATTATGCATTATGTGAAGTATTACATTGGAGAAGTCAGAATTCCTGCTGATTTTAGTCAGACAAAGCAAAAGTTAGATGGTTGTAAATGAAGTATTTAGGGAACTGTGAACATCCCTGTACAATCAGGTTGTGATTCCGGACTATTATATAACATTTAAAAAATGCTTTTTAATCTAGCTATTAATTTTACCATATAAACATTTTTAAAATGCATGTCAATTTTTTAGGTTAAATTTCCTTCATTATATTTTTATACTAGTTTGCTATATAAGAATATATATAAATCATAATTAGAAATTTTAAATGTTCAGCTAGACCAGTGTCCGTGAAGTATTTATGTCAGGTTGGCTTTTTACGATAGTTTATTATTTTTGTGTGTCTGGGCTGATGTGTGTATGGTGTGTGTGTTGAAGTGCTGTTGTAGAGATCAGAGACAACTTTGTGGAGTTGACTCTCTCACTCTAACTTGAAGGTGTTGAGCTCAGTGTCCTTGGCTTCCTGATGCTCCATCTTGCTGGACTTGTTTGTACCCTAAAGTATATGTACCATAGTATTCTGAGCACATTTTTTTTTAAAGATTTATTTATTTATTATGTATACAGTGTTCTGTCTGCATGCCAGATCTCATTACAGATGGTTGTGAGCCACCATGTGGTTGCTGGGAATTGAACTCAGGACCTCTGGAAGAACAGCCAGTGCTCTTAACCGCTGAGCCATCTCTCCAGCCCTCTGAGCACATTTTTAATATTATGTATTTGAGGAATCAAAATAAATGGTTTTAAGGGTCCTTAATCTTTAAAATTGATGCCAAGGGACCCAAGAATTTTTTATTTCTTAAAGATATTTCCTATAAAGAACTGCATATCCTCTTTATTTCATAGCAGTTGAGTTGTTTTGATAGGCAGTTCTTTGTATTAAATTTTATATGTAGCTCTGTAAATTAGGTATATGATTGTATTTAAAATCTGTTGACATTAATGTAATTAAACTTGTAGTTCTTGTGATATCTAAATCCTGAAGTTGGACATGTACATAGGGGTGTGCTTCCCTTGTCTTTAGATAACATAGGTAAAAGGGGTGAGATTCAACTGTTGATAGATAGTGACCATTGGTGGATTAAAATGACAATCTTCAAGTGATTTCTACTGTGAACGTGTTTTAAGTGATCATGTTTTTATGGTTAGAAAATCCACCTATGAGGGCGGGCAGTGGTGGCACACACCTTTAATCCCAGCATTCTGAAGGCAGAGTCAGGCAGATCTCTGTGAGTTCGAGGCCAGCCTGGTCTATAGAGTGAGATCCAGGACAGGCACCAAAACTACACAGAGAAACCATGTCTCGAAAAATAAAAAAAAAGAAGGAAGGAAGGAAGGAAGGAAGGAAGGAAGGAAGGAAGAAAGGAAGGAAGGAAGGGAAGAGAGAAAGAGAGAAAGAAAAAAGAAAATGTATTCTATGTATTCTGACTCATGTTAATAATGAATCATTGATGTTCAGTAACACATTTTATGAAGAACTAACAATGGATAAGTATTAAATTTGTGAATTTTGTCACATTTCATTTTTTTTAGCTTATGCATGCTAGGCAAGCATTTTGTTACTGAGCTTTGTATGTCCCCATCTAATAGGAACTGCTCAAGAATCCAATGCAGAGCACGAAGATTTGTCCCAATTGAAGTACAAGTAATCCTGGTCAAGGGTCTTACCATTAAAATTGATCAAACTAGAATACAGTTATTTTGTAAGTGCCAATAATTATACTCCTATCAGCTTCTTTATATCAGTATGTTTTAAAAAAATCGCCTCTAAGATCAGATTGTAGGTAGAAACATGTTTTAGTTGCCTGGACAGGGTCACTGGCATTTTTTTTTTTATTTTTTCAAAATACAAGGTTTTAATAAGAGTTAAGTGTGATTGAAGATTTTAGAGGAATTGCGTGGTAATTAAGTAATTTGATATTGATGTGTACATTTTTCTTTATATAGATTTTGATACTGACTTCCCAAGTCTTTATCTCACTCATGAAAACAAGATCAATTGGATATGATAGATAGTTCTTCCTGACCTCTTCGCAGCATATATGCCTGGTGATGCTTTTTACAGGTTACATGTTAGTATGTTTGGGATTCTTTGCCATTGAATATTAACCTAGGTTCTGTTACCAGCACCTACATCAGGCAGCTCACAACTGTCTGTAAGTCTCATTCCAAGAGACTCGGACACCCTTGCAAAGACAAAACCAAAACACAACAAAAGACATCTTCTGGGCTGGATAGCTGGCTGGGCAGTGAAGAGCACTTCCTGCTCCAAAGGTCCTGAGTTCTCTTCAGTTATGATTATTTTCCTTGTATAGTCTTTATATTTTCATCTTCACAAATAATACAAATATTTGCATTACAGAAGTTTAATATGTTTCATGTTCCTCTTATTGTTTGGCTTAGGAAACACCTCACTAACGGAAATTAAAGAATTAAAAGTAATTATGGCTGAGTGTACTCATGCATGCCTGAAATCCCAGTTCCAGGGGAGTGGAAGCAGGGGCATCAGGGGTCTAATGTCGGAGAGCTGGCGTGTGCTACAGCCTGTCCAAAACAAACAAGGAAACAGAAAAAAAAATTATGGTAACAAAAAGTGTTATTACATTCTATTAGGTATTTAGAGATAACTGATATTTAAACAAATGAAACATTTAAGTGCTGTGCCCAGGTTAGTCAACATTGTATTTTAATATTAAACTTTTGGAGAGAATGCTCAGATGATAAAAGAACTTGCTGTTCGTGTTCAGTTATCAGTACCCACGTCTGGTAGCTTATAGCCCATTTTTGACGTGCAGCTTCAGGGGATCAGACATTCTCTTTGACCTCCTGGCCTCTGTGTATTTTGCATGCACACATAAATAAAAATAAATAACTACATCTTTTTAAAAACCTCAAACATTTGAAACGATTTAGAAATATTTAAACCTGACAGGATGACACACACCTTTGATCTCAGAAGCAAGAGGATCTCTGAATTTGACCCCAGCCAACAATGTAGTGAGAGCCTGTCTAAAAACAAACAAACATAGTTGATCTTAATAATATATGAAGACATTTACTTCAGTGTTTTCTTATTTCAGGGCATTTTCCTAATATTATGTTGCTAATGAATGACATTTAACATGATTATATTTTTCACATGCTAAATATATG